GACACTGCCATTGCCCCCTCACACTAAGATATAAGTCGACAAGTCCCGTGTGCCTGTAATCTTACCAGCACCCTAACTCTATCCGCAATGCAATACTCGCAAAACAGCTTGGTGGCAGAAATAGGTAAGGCAGCAGTACTTTCCTGGACGAACTCTTTCACAAGGACCTCTAGGTACTGCTACTAATAAAATCTGATATGCTTTTAGTAGTTATTGCTTGAGTTCTTCGTTGGAAGGTAGACATTCTTTGTAGGACATTTACGAGTGTATATGGATAACAAAACTCAAGAAAGTGACTCAATTTTTGTCAAAGTTTGTCCACAAGTTATTTCATTATTTTCGGGTCCTTAATCATCTTACTTTGCCTTTGCCCAATTTTATGTATAGACTAGTCCTTTAAACTCCGTCAAACTTTTTAGATGATAAAATATTTATACTCCTTTGATGAATTTTTTACAAAAAAACTGAGTTGTTTTCTTGTAGCGACATAATTTTGGACAAACAAAATTTGCAAAATTTATCATAAATTCATTTCAACCATTGAAACAATGATTTTCGGTAATAAAACAAGAAAATGATACCAAAGGTAGGTGTGTGTGTGTATGTATAGCGTGTGTACGTGTTCCCGCGTGTAAAGCTATGGTCTTTTATTTCTTTACACGTTTGGTATTGCCATTAGCCTGGACTGGTATATTACATTGTGCGCAATTTGATAAGCTCGTACATTATGAATAATGGCCAGTCGGTATTAATAATGCATGCATTAAATGGACAATGTTATAAAAACTGCACGTTTATTAAATATCACTGATGACCACTCTATCTTGGTCAAAGTAATAAAACAAATTGTCAGTAGCCTTTTCGGTTAGGTTAATTTAATGTTAGGTTATAGGCTCGCGAGGAGTAAGGAGAAGAGCATTTTTTATTTATTTTATTTTTCATATTTTAGGAAGGTTTACGACTATGAGTTAAAAAAAGTGTATAATCTAAATAATATTAAAAAGCGTATTACATACCTCCGAACATTATAGATACTGTCCGGTCCGATTGATAAATTTACGCCATCTTACGCCTGGTTTTGCTGAATCATGGATCACGGGCAACCGGGCATTATTAACTTGGACCGGTCAAAGTAATAAATGTATTAATTAGTCGATGCTCTTGGCCATTCCCAATAACCGGTCCGTATTATTAATGACCAATGGATCAAATAGCCCGTCACATATACTTAAAAGGCAGAACTTTCACAAAACCATTATATTTTGGAACTACAGGTAAGTACTCGTATATAATTTCCATCGTAAGCCACCCATTGAATTGGCACTTCATCAATGGGTTTCACACTACGTTTTATTGTCGATTATTTGTAGCATTACATTTATTGTCTTCTTAATATGTAATACAGGATAACATTCAGTACTGTATATACTCATCGACAGTCATCTATATTCAAATTAACCTAAACTAGACTTCAGAAACATCTAAACTGCAAATTGAAACTGCGAAATGACATAGTTAGAACAAACATAATAATAATATTGCATGGATTAATCAAAATAATTTGTATAATTAAAGTTGCACATACGCAAACTTCTGCGGACTTGTATTACAACGAAATTGTAATTTGCTAAGTTGTAAAAGTAGGTATATCAGACTTGAAACAAGAATCTAAAATAAGCAAAGTAAAAAAAAATTTTTTCGGTCTTTGTATTAATAATTATAACAAACTAGTATGGTAATTTCACAAAAAATAATTGAATATCATGGTGGTGAAACATTATGACATTCAATAAAAATTTAATTAGTGATTAAAATGTTTATCTAATATATCTTTTTGTTTTCACGGTTGACTTTTTCAACCCGTGACAGTCCCAATTCAGCTCAGTCAACTCGTTACCATGGAACGTGTAACCGTTACGAAATAACGGGAAAACAAAAAGGACTCATACCGTGGTAAGATACTTGAAAATAAGTGATAATGATTTGGTGAATAACCACGAAAGCCTTTAAATGTGTAAAATGTTTATCTATCTAAATAAAACGCTGCTATTGTGGTGTAACGCACCTTTTTCTTGATTGGATCGACGAGCATTAAATTATTCAACTACCTTTAGATTAACCACAAAAAGATTTCCTCGTTCTGCCGTGTAGTCTTAATCAACCATTGAAATATATTTTAGCTTTAGCTTTTGGCGTAGCAATTTGTTGCAATGAATAAATAAATAACTGCCAGCGTGGCCGAACGGTTGCCGTGCGACACTGCCACGCAGCGGTTCCGGGTTCGATTCCCGTGCCGGTAGAAATAATTGTAGGGCCTATATTTATTTCTCTCGTGACTTTGGGTGTAATTTGTGGTTGTCTATGTGTCCATGGCACCTGCGATACAGGGTTTTCCTATGAGTGTGTGCGTGTTATTATTATGTGCGCGATAAATACAAATTTTCAAAATGTAAATTCTCAATCTCGTATACAAGGAACAAAATGCTGTACTTTTAGTGGAACGTCGCACTGTCAAATTAACAATGCGTGAACTTTAACATTTCATGAACAAAATTTGGGCTCCAACTGATTTACCCGCAAACATGTTCCTAACGCTGGTTTTTGGTGTCCAACTTTACAACACGGTTCCAGTTCATGGATGAAACTTTTTAGCCCGTCGTGAAACGAGACTGTCAAATGCACGCCGTCTCGACAAATCTCGATTTCGAGATCCTACTAAGGGGTTCAACATTACAAGTCGAAAGGCATTGGCAAAAACAAGAACTGTAAAAAATGTACTCATTTCTGTAAAGGATATATACCTCAAAAATAAAACTGTAAGATACATAAATATTATATTGTATATTGAAGACTCGCACATACATATATCTCATATACATTAATATTATAATTAAATTTATTTTTAGTTTGTGAAGTAAATAAAAGATAATATTATATAATAAGTTATGATAGTTTTAAGACTAGTTCCAGAAGAAGTAATATTCAAATAAAATTGAGAGCAAATTATAACTATCTATGTATATAAAAGCGCGGTGTCTCTTAACACTGGCTGTGTCAAACCTAAAAGGAAGCATCAGCCCCTGAATGAAGCATAAGAGAAATAAACAAATAACACATATTTTATACAGGTTTGTTCATAAACTTTAACACAATACGTTAATTTGCATAGCTTATGAAATATTATATATTTGTTTGTCTTTTTTTTAATAACTTCAAGTGACGGGACGAACAAGTCGTGCGCCTGATGGAAAGCTACAGACCTGTCCATAACTGTTACAGTGCTACTCAGAGCTCTAAATTGCAAAGATCTGACGCACTACCACTTGATAAGTCCCATGTGCCCGTAATTTCATCAGCATCCTTACCCTTCAAAACCGGAACACAGTAATGCATTAATAAGACGAACCTTTCACAAGGAGCAGGAGGAGGAATGAGATTTTAAAGCAGAAAAAAATATAGTAATTGCTTTGCTTGGCACAGAACGGTTCACAGTCACTATGGCAATAAATTCCTTAAATTTATTTCCTGGTAAGGGAAGTGAACTTCTACTTCATTTCTATTTGTTTTATGACAAAAGTTTCTAAAACTTTGCTTTTACGATTTCTCGAATACAATTGAGCAACTATTCCTTATCGAGTGTTGTGTACTGTGCGTTAGGAAAAGATGTGACGGCGAAACGCGAAGCTCTTTTCAAACATTTTTGATATTTTTATTTACTTACTGTGACTTGAACGTGAAAACGAAGTTATTTTGGCTATTTACGAGGTTAGTTTTGTATTAGAATATATTGATGTTATTATCATAAAAGCAAACCTATTGTTATGAATACTTTAGAAAATATAGGATATGACGAGACAAGAAACTATATCTTCACTTAGTATCATGTAAAATTTGAAAAAATAGAATAATGATTAAATCACAAATACTGACAGCAAAATTATATTAACAAATAAATATAATAATAAAAATTAATAGCTGTAAATACATTATCCTCAAAAATATTCATAACACGAGTACATTATAACCAGAAATAGAGACGAAATGTCATTTAATTTGTTTGAAACTATTCTGCCAAATCATGACTGTGACAACTGCGTTCCGATTGGCCAGCCCGCATTCGAGACAATTGTCGGGTGTCGTCAATTGTTTCCCTTCAAATCGACCAGTTCAACTTGAGCTTGATGCTATAATGAACAAAAATTGCAAAATTACATATATAATGTTTAATTACCGATGAAATGTGATTAGGTTTTCTTTTATAATTAGATGTTTGCTGTTTCTTCCACACCACTGAATAGAACAACCCCCATTGTTAGAGATATTATGTTTATTACAATAAATACAGAATATTTCTGGAATATACGGAGACTTACACAGGTCAGTATTTCAGTTTTCTAATTTGTGATTTCAGCGCTAACGAGAGTTGATATTTAAAAGTGATATAAGACCCATTTACCTGATGAGTTGCCAGGGATGGATGGCCCTTATTTCGTCTCTACTTCTGGTTAAATAGTCGATGATTCATAAGGATTCTAAAATAATGCATAAAACAATAACAAAAAACCATCTATTTAAAAAAAAAAATAAATTTGAACCATAACTATAGCTTATCTGCTTCAAGATTCAATGACAAATGTTAGTTAAGGCGAGGTATTTGAATGCGAGCTTAGATTTTAGGAGGTGAAGTGTCGGGCCACCACTCGCATCCCGCAATCTATGCGTTTAAAATAATATGAAGAAAATAAGAACTGATGGAGAAAATTTTACACAGATACGACGTTGACAAGCGCCCCGTGGTGACGGACAGGGCAGCGGGCGGCGCTGCGTTTCGTTAAGCCGCTGGGAATTTTTCAAATTTTGGGATAAGCGTGAATTTAAGTTTAAGGGTTTTAGTTTAACCAAACCAAAATTTAGCAGGTTCTCTGCAGAGTTTAAAGAGAAATAACTCCAACTATAAAAATTATGTACAAAGTGAGATATTTTATTCTTAAATAATTTGTTTAGACTTTTGTCTTAGCCTGTTTTCGGAAATTTGAATGATCGAGTAAAGTTCCTGTAATGAATTAACACATTCTTTAAACAATATCCTTAGGTGTATCGTATATTTTTTATAAGACCATTATTTTACAGTAAATACCAAAATATAGTAAGTCAATGGACTTACAATTATATGGACGTCGGGTCCGCGCTAAAAAGTGTCCGCACTTGTAAGGCGCTAAAATCGTATACAGAGCGCCAAACTCCGCTTTAGTCTTCATTTGTTCTACTGACAGCGCGATACTGCGATGACATTACAATTTAAATTTCGATTAGGTTGACTTGGGACATTTTTTTCGTGGTTTTTGTATTAGACCCGTCGTCCATTTATTTGTAAGTCAATGTAAATACCTGAATAATTTTTTATCTATCAAAACAGTTTTTCCCGCTACTCCTCAGGTGATTCGCCTTAATTTTTTCGCGAAACGCCTTTCTCGATCCATTTAACATTCTCACTTTGCTGCCATTTCTGTCTGGCATTAAAACCTGTAGGCGAAACGAAAGAATATTAACGATAATAAGTAATGTAAAATGCATTATACACTGAGCTCCTTGTAAATTTATTAGCGTTTTAAAAATAAAACACTTGTTTATTACAGTTACGAAATGTTTAATAATTAAAAGAATTTCAAAAGGAACTAAAAATGTTTAATTATCAAAAATAAAAAAAAGAATAAAATTAATGTTGCGTAGTCTCGTGGGCTGGGTTTATATATTTTTCACTTTCGCGGTATTTAAACAAAAAGAATGTCACATGTATCCTTTTTTGTCAAAACGGGACATTGTTTGGGGACACGAAGCTTAAAAGCGGGACGTATGGTCACGTTAATTATATTACAAATCTTGAATGAATTACTGAAATGCACTGATATATCAGCGATTCTTGTTATTCATTGTGAGTTGTAGTGTAACTGCGTAGTACAGGCAAAACTAACCACCATATAACGACTGGAACTGTAACACGGACAAAACTTTATTCAAATTCGTATCTTTAATTGGTTCCTTCCTACCTCTGGAATTATACCTGGAACACGCGATGCTACCGCGAGCTTCGCTTGCAATTCGGCATTTACACATGGTGAAGTTAAAATTCAATCTTCATTGGAAATTTTTGTTGAAATTTATTTGTTGGACTTGCCGCCTCTCAAACAGAGTCCGTGGGTTCGTTTGCTTGAAAAGTCATATTAGAAAATTGAAGACCACGTGTTAGATAAAGATATATGGAAAGACGTCATGGCTCTAGATTCGACACAAATTTGATTCAATGTAGTCTATAGCATTTATGTATAATTGAGGGCAGTCCCTCGAGTTTCTTGCTCGTTCTTCTTAGGGAAGTCAGTGTAGTGAACGAGCAGTAGCTTAAATGTGCCTTGAATCCTTGAAATGATTCATGAGAATTACGTATTAAAATTAGTGACAATATTATTTGATACTCAAAGAAATAATTAATCTATCCTAAATGTGCACTTTTTTAAACAAATTATATTTATATTTTTTTATCTTTGATATATAATATTATTTGTTCCGTCTATATTAATTGTTCTACGGATAAACTATAAATGAACTCCATTCAAGGTAAAACTATTATTTTATTTAAGCATACTAAATTAATATTTGATATTCAAAAATAATATCTAATAATAATAATAATAATAACGCTCACACTCAACATAGCCCCGCACTAGGGAAACCCTGTGTCGCGGGTGCCATGGACACACACATAGACAACCACAAATTACACCCAAACTCACGAGAGAAATATTGTTGTGTGCACATGTCATAAACAGAGTGATCTTGAAAGAAAACGTGTCAATAAAATAAAAAAATGGTTATAATGTATTTATACATAACTTATTTATTTAATTCAATTTATTTAAACTTAATTGCACATAAAACAGTACAAATGGCGGATTTAATACCATTAGGTATTCTTTACCAGTCAACTGGAGAGCTGGGTTCAAAATAATTAACAGGGGTGCATAACATGATTATTAAAACAGATAGGAAGAAGTTTATAAATAATTATGATATATAGTTTAAGCACAATAAATATAGCACATAATATTATATGACTAACTATACTTATATAAGCAACCTATATACACATAAATACATAACATATAATACATACACATATATATTTAATATACATATTTATATATAACAATGTCAGACTATTAGGAATTAAAAGAGTCAATTTGCTGTCTGAGCGAAGATTGCGATTACGGGATGTACCCAAATATTGAAATTTGCATTTCAAATATCCAGGCGCACGTTTATCATTAATGATAGAGTAAAGAGTGGAAAGTATTCTCAAATCAAGTAAGCCACTTCAGTTCACTGTGACATGCGGACATATGATCAAACTTTCGAAGTCCAAAAATAAAGCGAATGCAACTAAGCGATCTAATTTGTTGAGAAGTTCCTGGGTGACATCAGCATAACACACATAAAATAAGCATAATCAAGGACAGGAAAAATAGTGGCCTGTACTAAGAGGATTTTCGATGAGATGGGAAGAAAGTGTTTGAATTGGTAGAACGACCTTAAGGTACCAATGATCTTTTGACTAATGCAATCAGTCTGAGGTTTCCAGCTTAAAATACTATCAATGTGTAGTCCCAGATTCACAACATTTATTTATTGTTAAAAATTCCCTGTAAATATTCCTAAAAATAAATAAAAAAGAAACGCGACAGAGCTCATGTCTAACCTAGTCAATGCTTGAGAACTACCCACGACAATACCTTGACACTTACATGGGTTGACACTGATGCCAAACTTACTCTACCAATCAGCGATACGCCCCCGATCTTCATTACGAGCTTGTATCGTATCATCCAGGCAATTAATCTTGGCCTGCGCATATATTTGCAGATATTCTGCATACAGATGGTGAGAATTGTGGTAGATAGGAGAAATTAAATTGATGAAAACGGAGAACAATAGAGGGGAAGAATTCCACCTTGGGGAACCCCTGCCTCAAGGTCTGACCAATGTAATAATAATAATAACTTCGCAGGTTCCAAAGAGTTTCATTAGGAACCAAACAATTTTTGTCTAATTAGAAGATAATCGTCAATGCTATGGAATTGATTACAAAGTTAATTTAATATAAAAAAGTATTAGAAAAGTATTGTACTTCATATCAAAATCAGAAACGAATGCTCGATGTATAGCGAAATGGTAGTATTATAAAAAACGTGTACAAACTCAAGGTTATTAAAATATCGCTACTGTGATATTAATTAATGTTTTGAATTATCAAAGTTTTTCAATTTTAAAATATCACAATAAAATATTTTTTCCTCTGTGTGAAGTAAATCAAATAATACCGTGTACTGTCTAGGCTCTCGGGTATCTCTCAGAGAAAAGTTTAAGGAGACTGGTATCATGACTGTGGCATTACAGTACGTTTACTCAAATATTTTATATGCCCGTAAAATATACATAATTTTAATAAGAAAGAAGATATCCATAATATTAACCTTAGAGCTAAGTCCAAACTCATGGTACAACGATTTCGTTTAACCAAGGTAAACAACTTTTTTATGGGGAATTGTATACGTTTTTACAATAAGATTCCGGAGCATATATTAAGTTTATCATTTCCTAAGTTTAAAAACTACATTAAAAATATTTTGATCGAAAAATCATATTACAAAATTGAAGACTACGTGTTAGATAAAGATGTATGGAAAGACGACATGGCTCCAGAATCCACACAAATTTGATTCAAAGTGTATTCCATAGCATTTAAGTTTATTTGAAAAGAGCAATCCCTAGAGTTTCTTGCTCGTTCTTCTCAGGGAGGTCAGCGTAGTGAACGAGCAGTAGCTTAAATGTGACGTTTTCAAGTGTAAATTTATTTTACCTATGGAATAAATAATCTTTGACTTTGACTTTGACTTTGAATAACAGTAAAATATTAACTTATGTTGCATATAATTTAATTAAAACATTAATACCACTTAAGTACCATATTGCGAAATAAGATTTCCAGTATGTAACATTAAAACAGAAAAAAATGCGCCGGCACGCACACAATAAATGAAAAGCGGCTTCACATCGTTGTTGCGTATGCTCCATTTGCCTTTTGTTTTGTAATCTGAGGCTCATGTGTCTTAGTTTTGAGGTCCAACATAAAATTATCGAAGTTAATTTATACATATCAAACATTTTTTGCATAGCTCAGAACAGATTAAAATATCGATTGATTTAATTTATTTTATATCTCAGAGAATTTTTAAATTATACTATACGGGACAGGGAAATGTTTTTAATTTAATTTAATGTCACTATTCTTCATAGAATGCCATCGATATTGTAAGAACTTAATATAGTAAAGGATTAACGAAAATCAATCGGTTTTAATTCCGTTTAGCCGACTGAATATGGCCGTAGTTTTGAGAAATTGCCATAGATTCACAAAATCCAGTCATAAAATGCAATATGTGCTCTTCACACTGCAACGAGCAATATCCAGTTATGAGAAACAACAAGCCATTTCATCATACGCGCCGTAAACTGGCAAACCAAGCCATTTCTGCATTTCATGACCCCGCGTTCGAGAGCTTGAGCCTAGTATAATATTTGAGCGGTGAACCAACTACAGCAAAATTTTTCCGGTGACACCATTGACTTTTAATGGGTGACACGTAAAAAAGGGTAAAATAAAATAAAACATATTTATTATCAAATAACAAAGTCCATACAAGTTATAGTGCTCACAAAATAAGAGGCATCTTTTGACACTTGTCATCGTAAATAGGGATGTGAACTAAACATATTTTTGAAATAAAGAAAGAAGCGTTTATTCAGCTTAAGAAAATTCAAACAAAACAGATAAAACAAATTATTGATTACATACATCTATAAGCTGAAACGGATCCAACTCAGCATATGTCACAGCTCGCCTGCTGTAAAGCTGGTTTTCAGTTGGAACCGCTTTTACAAGATGAGATGGCACGTAAGTACTAGTGTAGTAAACACTAAAATTATAAAATGTAACTTAAATATTAATTAAACACAAGAAGAAAAAATATATGTATATGAAATACTGCATTTCATCATCATCATCATATCAGCTGGAAGACGTCCACTGCTGAACATAGGCCTCCCTTAAAATTTCCAGACCAACCGATCGGACGCGCCGTGCATCCATCGGTTACCCGCCGATACTGCTCTAGTTAGGAATTATTCCATTAATTGAATGTATATAAAATGAACTGAACTTGTTAGGTAACCAATTAAACGATATCGAGTTCTTAGGTTTTCGCGATTGTTACACGTAGGAAATGAAACTATTTTTCCGGATTTAAATCGCGTATATTTGTTTTTTTCAAACAAACCAATGTTTCGGGCCCTTTACAGGTCAAATGGTCACAGTTGACTCGCTTCGCTCGTGGTTCAATCTTAGCTTCCTTTGCTTGTTCAGGTTTCAATACAAGCACTCGCGGCAAACAACAACTTTGCAGCCTTGCACAACAAATAACTATTCTCTTTGACATTTCAATGCAAGAGTTTTGTTGCATTGTTATCGGTTTTTGATTGCGTATTTTAAATCAGGTTATACTTCACCCCAAAATCGTATTTAAAAAGGACCATTATGTGTCTAGTCTATGTAGTGCATGCGCCATTACGTATTCTGTCACGGAGAGTTTGTCGGAACCTAGATCAGGTTAGCTACAGATGCATGTAATTACAAGTTTAACTGTGTATTTCTAATAAAGTCAGTTCTAATAGTGAGTAAAACAAAAATGTCATATTTTCCATGCCAGGAGACGGTATTTCGTAAGGCGAGTCTTTAGGTTCAAGTTTTAATGACACAAATCAATTATTTATCATCCCCAGTCTGCCGTAATATATATACTCGTAATACAAATTCACCGAATTATAATGATTTAACAAAAAAAATTCTTTGTATAATAATATCATTCTATTTCAATTATAGTATTGTATCTCAATTTTAAAATTCATTTTATTATCGTAGAACATCGTACACGTCAACATAGGTATACTTCGTGCCCTTTACCATGCCGGACTGCCACGCAGAGGTCGCAGGTTCGATTCCCGGGCCGGGAATAATATTTGTATGGGCCTACATTTATTTCTCTCGTGAGTTTGGGTGACATTTGTGGTTGTCTATGTGTGTGTCCATGGCACCCGCAACACAGGGTTTCCCTAGTGCGGGGCTATGTTGAGTGTGTGCGTTATTGTTATTATATTTTTATTATATTTTCCCATCGGGGTAGGTAGAGACAACAGCCTTGCACTTGCTGCGATCCTTTTTTATGATAGTAAGTGACAGGACAAACAAGTTGTACGCAGCAGAGCTTTATATCGCAAAGATCTGAAGGCCACTGCCACTGTACCTGTCGCTATGAGAGACAATTTAACAAGTCCTATTTGTCTGTAATTTCACCAGCACTCTCACTCTTCAAAACCGGAACGCAATAACGCTTACATTATTGAAGTGTCAAATATTTTTGAAGTGTCAAGATTTGTAAAGTACAAAAGTAAGCTCTTTAAAAAGACTCGGGATATTCATAGCAGAAATGTAAGAAACCAAGACAGGTTAGTGTATAATAGTACTACCAAATTAAGTTAATACCAGAAACAGTGCGGGGTTATGTGTGTAAAGATATATAACGCCTTACCGTCAGACATAAAACTGATAAATAATAATCATATGTTCAAACGTGAACTAATGTCATGGCTAAGAGACAAAAATTTCTACTCCATTAAAGACTCATTTTCATACAAATTTCAATAAATCTGACTACTTAATTTAAATTAATTTAATTTGTTTTGACCAAAGAGAAAGAAAACTTTACTTATTAACTATTTTTTTACATCTTCATGACATGATAATAGCTTGCTATGATAGTATGTTAATATTTAATTAAATTTATTTGACCAAAAAGAAAAAAACGATATTTACCAATTTTGTTTTTTATTTTTTAATGACATACCAATAATGTAGTATTTTAACCCTAGATCACTAAACTTATTTTTCAACGTTTAATACTAACCTTCGTCGTTTCGACTACGCTGTCAAAAAGTAGGTTTATAAGGTATTATTGAATGAAATATTTATTTGTTTTACATTATTTATTTATTATAATCTTTTATTAGGAAAAATATAACATTTTTATTTATTTAAATCACATATTTAATACTTAATCAGCCTTTTAACTGAGACCATATTTTTCGCTCCAAACTATTTACGCGCGGTAATTACGCGCTTACCTATGAAAAACTAAAACACTGCACTTCGACAAAAAGTCAAATAATCAAAATTTACATATAGAATCAACAAAAAAAAATAACATTTTGGTAATAAAACTATGAACTAATACATTTGTGACACACATCAAGTTTGTGTTCGCCACACAATGATTTATTGCACTTGTAGCAACTAGACTTCGTCATCCTTCGTTTGGCTGACGGGCATATGGCACAAATTTTTCGTTTTTTCGCGATAGGATTATCTGCAGCTTCCCTTTCTTCAGTCTCAAGTGTCAAACCCGATCTACTACTTCCTGGCATATTCAAAATGTGTGTAAGAGAATCGCGCAGGCCAGTTTGAAGTGTGGGCATAAGTATTCGTTTTTGCATATGTGGCTCGACTAACTTATGATGCAAGCTTTTTATATATTCACGCCTCGATAGGGGTTTTTTATTTGCCTCCATATTGTTACTTACGTATACAATGTAACTATTTACGAATGCTATATTGAGCATTCCATAAAAATTGCATAAAGGCCAACGTCGAGTTTTGCGGCTGCAAGAAGCAATGGAGCACATCTGATCCAACTTATCGACTCCACCTTTGGTTTGGTTATAAAATTCAACCATTGTTGGTTTCTTAGAAGTCTCATCCAACTTTCCTTCTTCATCGCAAGTTGAAAGTAAGAATACTACCTTTTGAGGTTTGGGCTTATACGAGAGCAATGTGAGTTCATTGTCATAGCAGAACATAGCAGTACCAGTTCCACGTGTGCGCTCGTTTTGTAACTCTATCGGTATTTCTCGTTTGTTTGCTCTTAGAGTTCCAACTAAAGTCAGCTTGTACGGTTCTTTTAGTAAGCTTTTGGCTAATGGCACCGAAGTGAACCAATTGTCCATAGTTATGTTCCTATTAGTGCCATGAACAGTGCGTGTCAATTTTTTCACAAAATATTCCCCGAGTGGCAAGCCGTCTGTTTTAGTACAAGAACCCAGATAAGGCTCTGCGTCTACCATATATTTCGTCGAGTTATCTACCACCATTACAATTTTAATGCCATATTTATTTGGCTTATTCGGGATATAAATTCGAAATGGGCATCTTCCTCTGAAGCCTAGCAACTGTTCATCAATAGTAAGGTAAGATCCTGGTTTGTAGTTTTCTTGACAGGCAGCAATGAAAAGATTCCACAGGTCACGAAATGGGGCATAAACATCAGTCTGTCTACGTTGTTGGCGCGTAGACTTGTCGTCAAATCTAAGGCAGCTTATTAGAAAATCAAATCTTTCATTTGACATTGTACTACGGTATCTATTTCCACAAAACGTAGTATCAAATATCTCCTTTGATGGCAAATGGTTATCCTTCATTGCTGCAGTTAACGTTAGAATACCGATAAGAGCTCTAACCTCACCAGCATCTGTGGGTCTTTGAGTGGCAGTTACATTTTTGTATTTTTTAGACTTTAGTGCAATCTCAGCATTGGTATAGGTGACAATTAGATTTACCATATCTTCCGTAATAAAAGAAGAAAAGCAATACAAAGGATCTAATTCATTTTTGCACATGCGAGTAGGTCCAGGTCTAATGTGCACGATGTTTCTTGCAGCTGTTCGGCTTTGTGATCTTGGCTTTATTGATGACCATTTGTGCTTATCTTTTCCGCGAAGTACGATACGCGATGGTATAATAATCAAGTCGTTGTCATTCTGTGCCGAAGTACCAGGTATCTGATCTTCAATTAATGGAGCTGCATGATCATTTACTTGGACGTCTTGACCTGGAGGTGGATGTAGTGTCACAGAAGAGACCTCATCCTCATTAGCTGACTCATAAGCGGGATCAACCTCGATGTGGTCTTCCTTCTCACTCTCTGATGAATTTTCTTCGTCACCATTATCTGCCAATAATAGCTGAAGAATCGTACCTAAAATAAAAAATACATACATTAATTTTATGGTGTAAAAACTAAAAAATAAACTTAAAATATTAGAAACACAATAGTACAAAATATAACGTTAACACTAACCTTCGTCGATGCGACGAGTCATGGTTGCTGATCCGGCGCACACAGGCCTCTCGCACGACAAACACTACCGTCCGTCGCGGGGGCAACGGGTCAACTGAGATTACACGGGAGCTAAAATAGGTGCGACCGCGCACTCAAAATGTACGACACTTTTTTCGAATTCGCGTCGTCGTTTCGACGAAGCTTAGTGATCTAGGGTTAATTAAAGTTAATAACTCTGTACTGCTATTAGAATTGCTTTAAAACTGTTAAATTATGAAATATAGATTACCATAATTATATTATTTGCGTGCCAATTTTGGTGAAATATGAGGACTGTCCTATTATTATATATCATATGTACCATCTTTTGTAAACCACTATTCAGGCAAATAAATTTCATTTCCTTTCATTACATTACTGCTTGGTAGAAATTGGTAAATTGGCAATAGTTCTCAAGACGAACTCTTTCACAAGAAGCTCTACTGCTACTAAATCTATGAATCCTGACACTTATCTTTCGGTTCATCAATACGAAACAGTGCTGTCGTACAAGTTCATCGATTAAAGGTATTCTTGACCTTATCTTTCTTTAGAACGTCCTCAATTTGGTCATGGTAAGTTTGCCATTGTCAGCTTGTATAAACTTGCCGTCTCACTTTCGCTTTCTAAATAAATCTGTTTCACCAATTTTCTTTCATTCGCTCTGTCTTCATATCCAAGTCATGTAAGCATCCCTTTCTCTTTATTTATCACTTCTAACTACTTATAATACTATCCTCTTCCACACCGCAACACTCTCGCAATATTAAATTTATCTATTCAACATAGACTTACAGTTCGGAGCACAAAGTCTAGACTTCTAGACACAGGTGTACACTCAACTCCGTAAAGTTGTGCTAAAGTTATGTTATCAAAACGCTGCTTATGATTTCATAGAACTTCGTAACGTTTAGCACTTAGGTGCTTTGTTATTCAGCAATTTTAAATTTTCGCTAACAATACAATTCAAAGAGCAAAATATAATGTGGTTGACTTATAAAGTCCACTGCAACCACTTTTACATTGAAATATTTCAGCATTCCAAAATTATTTCAGGCTTATAATAGCGACAAAGTCGTAATTTAATTTCACTAATAAATAGATCTCGTTGCTCAACTCTTGGAATTTACTGTCGTAACACCAGCTTGTGTATACCTTTCCGCCATATAATATTAGAATAGGAGTTCTGCTGCAACAAATGTACGTATCTGTGTTTGTAAAAGACCACAACGTACACTATACGTTGGAGCTAATTTGTGAGAACAGAATTATAAAGTATTTCCTGTAATGCTCAAACGTGCGTTTGTTTGACAGATAGTAGTTGCTGTTTGTTATATTCATTACATAAATTGAACGTAATGAACAAATAATATTTAAATATTATAATACTTATTTATTGAATAGTGAAAATAGTACAAGTTATTATTAATGATGCAAAGATACAACAACACAAAGAAAAATTCCTTCTGTTTAACTGGTTTCGATACAGTGCCTGTTGCCACAACAGGACTACTTATCTTAACTGAGTTACAGATCGAGACTGAATTACAGGCTCGGTTGCTAAGGAGGCAACAGAAAGGTGTTTTATTAAATTTGTAACTAGAATGTTATAATTATTAATACAAAGATCGAACACTCACAAGAAACACTCAGAAAAAATTCCTTCGATCCGGTCGGATTCGAATCGACGTCTTCTTGCATACCGTGCCAGACGCTATACCAACTAAGCCACGAAACGAACCAACGGACCTCACGAATTTTTCTGTGCTTGCGTCGTGTCTTTGTACTTGGTTTTTCAACGACTGTTTAGTCGTAGCGCCATCTATGAGAAATCTTTGACAGATTTATCACCCAGTTAGTACCTTTACAGCTAACAGTCCTGGCGAGAGATGTCGCTGTTCACTGTATTAATTAAATTTTTATTGAATTGATATTCAATTATTTTTTGTGAAATTACTCCACTAGTTTGTTATAATTATTAATACAAAGATCGAACACTCAGAAAAAATTCCTTCGATCCGGTCGGATTCGAACCGACGTCTTCTTGTATACCGTGCCAGACGCCTATACCAACTAAGCCACGGAACGAACCAACGGACCTCACGAATTTTTCTATGTGCTTGCGTCGTGTCTTTGTACTTGGTCTTTCAACGACTTTTTAGTCGTAGTGCCATCTATGAAAAATCATTTAACATATTTATCACCCAGTTAGTACCTTTATAGCTACCAGTCCTGGCGAGAGATGTCGCTATTCACTGTATTAATTAAATTTTCATTGATTTTAATTTTAGTTGTTTATAATAATTTGTTTAAGTGGAAAAAGACACATAAATAAATAAACTAATTTGTAAGTGATCAAATGTATATGTTGAATATTAATAATGAATTCTCGATAAATAAAAGACTACATAATGTGAAAGTCTTTGATCCTCCTTGCGTATAACTTTTACATGGCAATGCACTATAATTTTGTTAAGGAACTTCTCAACTCTATACACTTTGTGGTTCTACGCTCCTGTCATGTCCCAACAAAGCTATGTCACTTTGTTTCGTGTTTGTTTCAACTTCTTCCAGAAAAAGATATGTTACATTTTTGTTGCGAAGGAGAACAATTCCACTTGAGCTTAAAAACTTACCGACTTTGTAAAATTGTAATATTTGTAGTGTTCCTTTCTCTGCTTTGTAGAGAGTGTGTTTAAAACTAGTTATTTTATAAAATGTAGAGATATATTGGTGTATCTGTAGTTGTGTGACTCGTTAAACCATATTTTTTACTGTTTGATGTGTCCGCTGAATCCGAACAAAATTCACTATAACTATCGGTTGTTTGGTTGCTCGTACTTTTACTATTTTATTTACAATTTGGAGCCATAATATACTAAGTGTTTTTTTCTTAAAATAGGACAGTATAGGGAAATCCAAAACCATAGAACATACAAGGAAACTGTCTTATGAACCATTAAGTCTTTTTTTGTGAAACCAATTTTGGCATAGTAATTTTTTTTGGTCCATAAAAATAAACAAAATTGATCAAAATTTTTTAGTACTAATCGACTCAATTTCATGAGGAGATAATAATCATAGTATGGGACTATATAATATTCTAGAATAAGCAAATAATAAAAATTGCCACCGAAATTAGATATAGAATATTCTAAATACAACTATTAAATAACATCATCCTCGTCGCCAATATTTAGTCGGTTAGCGATTTGAATTATGGAAAGGTGCGGGAAGCAAAGACGTGCGCCTGAGTTTAAGAAATTTACTCGACGGCCGTTAAGTTGGTGCCGGACGCAGCCGTTTACCGTTTATGTCTAATTTCATACTACTTACATCCCTCCACACTTATCCTGATATTTTGGGTTTAAAAACCTTTAGGTCTTAAAACAGTAAAAATTTATTTATTTGAAATTTATCCTTTTTTCAGAGCCATGAGTATAATAAGAACGTTGTCCTTATCATGGGCAGATTAATTTAAATATCACTAAGCTTTTAAGTTTTGGTAAAAAATTTTCATTAAAAATTGCAAACAAGCGCGCTAAATGTTAGCTAAAACTATATAAACAATTCGCTACAGCAATTCAGTAGTCTGAACACTGGAAAATTGCTACGAATTTTCACAAAACTTCTATCTAGTTTTATGAGTTAGTTTATTTTAGGAATGTGCCAGTTTATTTTAACTAGCTTCAACTAGAGTAGAGTGAAGTGTCGTAAAAGAAATTTAAAAGGATAAAAACTATGCATGGACAACCATTTTAAACTGAAACTACTTTGATAAAAACACGTGAAGAAATTGTAGAGGTGTCAAAAAATAATAAGTTTAATTATTACTACGGCGTTGAAAGCCGTAAAAACGCACATAAAAATCTATAACAGATACATAGAACTTTTAACTCATTCCGTGGCCGAACGGTTATCACTGCCACGCAGAGGTCCCGGGTTAGATTCCCGGGCCGGGAGAAATAATTATATGACCTATTTCTCTCGTAAGTTTGGTGGTAATTTGTGGTTGTCTACGTGTGTCCATGGCCGCAATATAGGATTTCTCCAGTGGGACTGTGAGTGTGTGTGTTATTCATGTTTATGTTATGAATATTTATTTATTTAACTTTATTTATAGAAGAATTTCGTCGGCCTGCTAACTCGACCCGTAGCTCAGTTGGCAGAACGACCTTCGCATTTTATGTCAAAAATTATTTTATTAAATTTGGCCGACTTCTGCTGTCCCGATTTTTTCTTTCCCGTATAATAATTTTTTTCGTCTCATGCTATGATTATTATCTCCTCATGAAATTGAGTCGATTAGTACTAAAAAAATTTTGATCTATTTTGTTCATTTTTATGGACCAAAAAAATTACTATGCCAAAATTGATTTCACAAAAAAAGACTTAATGGTTCATAAGACAGTTTCCTTGTATGTTTTATGGTTTCGGATTTCCCTATTCTGTCATATTTTAAGAAAAAAAACACTCCGTATATTATGGCTCCAAATTGTAAATAAAATAGTAAAAGTACGAGCGACCAAACAACCGATAGTTATAGTGAATTTTGTTCGGATTCAGCGGACACATCAAACAGTACAAAATATGGTTTAACGAGTTACTCATCTACAGATACATCAATATATCTCTACATTTTATAAAAAAAACTAGTTTTAAACACATTCCTCTACAAAGTAGAGAAAGGTAACACTACAAATATTACAATTTTACAAAGTCGCTAAGTTTTTAAGCACAAGTGGAATTGTTCTACTTCGCAACAAAAATGTAACATATCTTTTTCTGGAAGAAGTTGAAACAAACACGAAACAAAGTGAAATAGCTTTGTTGGGACATGACAGGAGCGTAGAACCACAAAGTGTACAGAGTTGAGAAGTTCCTTGACAAAATTATAGTGCATTGCCATGTAAAAGTTATACGCAAGGAGGATCAAAGACTTTCACATTATGTAGTCTTTTATTTATCGACAATTCATTATTAATATTCAACATATACATTTGATCACTTACAAATTAGTTTATTTATTTATTTGTCTTTTTCCACTTAAACAAATTATTATAAACAACTAT